TGCAGACAATGAGCTGGAGCGCAGCATCAAAGCTGCCATGATGAGGATGAAGAAGGTGGCAGCCGACTCAGACGAGGATGACAGAGGAGACGACGAGACTCAGAGTACAGACTGGGACAGCTGAGAGAACACACCCACACACACATGCGCCAGTGAAGCTGTTCTTTTGCTCTGTTTTCTTCAAGAGTCTATGTTGCTGCCAAATTTACACCAAAATGGGATTACGCCTCTTCTGACTTACACACTGCACTATGTTGAAACTGTCAAACATTAATCATATTTGTCTTTTCAAAGTACCCCAGAGATGTTGTAATATATACAAAACAGCTGAAATCAGGATTTAGTCTCCTCTAAAGCAGTTGGTTTGCAGAAATCCCAAACTGAGCAAATGTTGTGCTTTCAGCACTCATTAAGAAGAAAAGCCAAGCAGTAGTACTGTACAGTGAGTAAATGATTGCATTTCTCCCAACTCGGCATCTGAAGCCCTTTGGGGAGACATTCACATAGCAGCCAAAGCCTGTGCTGCAGGCAGAGACGACTACATTACACAACTCCATAAATAATCATAAATACTAATTTTCCGACATTACTGAGTATAAACTTGTCTGACTTCTGTTATTTTGAATGTAACTGTTTTTTAACTATACTTCACCCCAACAAGGGCTACAGCAAAGTCACTTTAGTCATTTTTGCATTTTATTACTAAACAAAGGAAGAGTTGTCTTGAGTTGTAGCAGTGTTAATTATTTGCAGCCTAATCGTTTAAACTTTAAGTTTTTCTTTTTTTGTGTCAGAAATGTGTGAACTTAAGTGCATAATCTGTTATTTCTTGCTCAAAGATGCCATAACTAGCAAAGTGACAAAAAACATGCTAGATAATGTTTTTAAACAACCAGTACAGCTGCAACGATTAAGTAAAAATATGTCAAAATTCTGTGATTCCAGCTATGGTTTCTTTACTCCTCTTTGACAGTAAATTGAATATATTTGGTTGTGGACAAAAACACATTTTATAGACCAAACAACTAATCGATTATTCGAGAAAAAATTGATAGATTAATCGACAATGAAAATAATTATTAGTTGCAGACCTAATAACCACTACTTCCTTTAAATTATGGAATTACTCATGAACAAACAGAGCTCTGTCTCTTCTCATGGTTGAATTCCCAGAAAAGCTTGCAGACAGGTTATTGCTGATGTTTGGGAAAAACTTTGTACTTACGACCTTTTGAGCCTTTGACACAAAGCATTTGACTTACCTGAACCTCTTAAAAAGGCAATGCTGTAATGTATTATGTACAAAGAAATAATACTGTATGGCAAACAGCATTAAATGGTTTGCAGAAGAAATTATTAATTACTGCACTTTGATTCTGCAAGACATGAAACTTATTCCATTGTGTTAAAGATGAGCTGATGATGGCCGCGGCTAAAACACTCTTGAACCCGGTGTATTTCAAAAATAAAGGAAGTCACTTGTTAGATCATAATTATGGATTGTTGGCAATTTTTTTTTAAATCATACATCTTTTTCTGAGATCTTTTCTGTGCTCATGCTGTTCCTGGATCTCCATAGGTTAGTTGTAGCTGGGCCATAAAGAAAAACCCCTGCTCTTTAAATGACTCACAACGTCTAAGAGATGTCTTATCAACCTGTGACGGTGAACTCCGGTGAGTGTGCTTTGGCGGATTTGTAGCCCACATGATGATGAGTCATATTGTAATATCCATCCTGGCAGCCGTCGCTTGCACATCTCTCTCCTGCAGTGACAGCTCAGATATCCCCAGCCAGCTGTGATTGGGATTATTCAGCTGTGTACTTGGGAGAGCAGCTGCTAGCAGGGGGAGTTATGGCTGCTCTTGAACGTCATCTCGTTTGCAGGGCCGCCATAACTCTGCGTGTGTGTGTGTGTGTGTAAGTTATTGTTATCATCCAGGTGATTAAGGTGGAAGACAGGTCATCATGCACCTTGGGGAAGACACACATGGTGGGTATATAGACAAACCCGCCAATCAAGCGTCAACATGAAATTCCGCAGCCTGTTACTATGGCAACAGCAAGTCTCAGTGGTAGTGGCCTGCAGTGCCATATCTCTCTCTCACTCTCTCTCTTTCAGAACAGCATAGTCTCTTAATGATGTTTCGCCCACTCGTCACCGGTCTCACAATGGGCCTTGCTGGGAGAAAGATGCGGAGATGAACAAGAGAGAAATGGCTCTTTTGCTGCATCACTGCTAATGTACACTCACCTAAAGGATTATTAGGAACACCTGTTCAATTTCTCATTAATGCAATTATCTAATCAACCAATCACATGGCAGTTGCTTCAATGCATTTAGGGGTGTGGTCCTGGTCAAGACAATCTCCTGAACTCCAAACTGAATGTCAGAATGGGAAAGAAAGGTGATTTAAGCAATTTTGAGCGTGGCATGGTTGTTGGTGCCAGACGGGCCGGTCTGAGTATTTCACAATCTGCTCAGTTACTGGGATTTTCACGCACAACCATTTCTAGGGTTTACAAAGAATGGTGTGAAAAGGGAAAAACATCCAGTGTGCGGCAGTCCTGTGGGCGAAAATGCCTCGTTGATGCTAGAGGTCAGAGGAGAATGGGCCGACTGATTCAAGCTGATAGAAGAGCAACTTTGACTGAAATAACCACTCGTTACAACCGAGGTATGCAGCAAAGCATTTGTGAAGCCACAACACGCACAACCTTGAGGCGGATGGGCTACAACAGCAGAAGACTCCACCGGGTACCACTCATCTCCACTACAAATAGGAAAAAGAGGCTACAATTTGCAAGAGCTCACCAAAATTGGACAGTTGAAGACTGGAAAAATGTTGCCTTGTCTGATGAGTCTCGATTTCTGTTGAGACATTCAGATGGTAGAGTCAGAATTTGGCGTAAACAGAATGAGAACATGGATCCATCATGCCTTGTTACCACTGTGCAGGCTGGTGGTGGTGGTGTAATGGTGTGGGGGATGTTTTCTTGACACACTTTAGGCCCCTTAGTGCCAATTGGGCATCGTTTAAATGCCACAGCCTACCTGCATTGTTTCTGACCATGTCCATCCCTTTATGGCCACCCATGTACCCATCCTCTGATGGCTACTTCCAGCAGGATAATGCACCATGTCACAAAGCTCAAATCATTTCAAATTGGTTTCTTGAACATGACAATGAGTTCACTGTACTAAAATGGCCCCCACAGTCACCAGATCTCAACCCAATAGAGCATCTTTGGGATGTGGTGGAACGGGAGCTTCGTGCCCTGGATGTGCATCCCACAAATCTCCATCAACTGCAAGATGCTATCCTATCAATATGGGCCAACATTTCTAAAGAATGCTTTCAGCACCTTGTTGAATCAATGCCACGTAGAATTAAGGCAGTTCTGAAGGCAAAAGGGGGTCAAACACAGTATTAGTATGGTGTTCCTAATAATCCTTTAGGTGAGTGTATTTGAGCATGATTGATAATTGATACAAGGTATCGGTAATTTAAATTATTGTTTCTTATTTTTCATTTAATTAATTCAGAATTTAATGTATAAAAAGTCAGAAAAGTGACACGCTACAGATCAAAGTAAGATTGTTCTTTTGTTTAGTCTAAACAAGAGTCAAACAAGACACTTGATCTAATAAAGGCATAGGATACTTGAGACTAAAAGTCTAATGTTACAGCCACTCTAGAAGCTCTGTGAGGCTGTGCTTAGACAAACACAAACAAAAACATGCTGGTATTTAGCAGGTACTATGTTTATGTAAGGTTTGCTTTAGGTAATGTTTTCTATCATAGTTTAGTTTAATTTGTACCACAAAGCACAGCTGAAGCTGATGGGTATGTTATTAGTTTTGCAGATATTTGGTCATATTTGATTCTGACCTGCTGCTGGCGCTAGAGGAAAAGTCAGGGGATCATTAAAGTATTAGGATTCCTCCTCTGGGGATCTCAGATGTCTGCACAAAATTTCATAGAAATTCTTGCAGTAGTTGGGATATTGAAGTCTGGACTTAAATGGTGGCACAACAGATGTAACCATCTCTAGAGAAGAACTAAAACTATACTACAAAGTCCTAAATGTGACAAGAGCCAGAGCTTAGGCCTACAGTAACATAATCACCCCCCCCCCCCATTATTTGTATTTTTTTAAACAATTTATAAACAAAACAATTAAGTTATTGAAAAAAGACGTGGATAATAATAAAGTTGATTTTCCATCAACAGTCTTAATTAGTGAATTTTCAGCACTAAATTGATGTTTATTCTGCATATTGATTGTACCTGTGCCAACCAGCTCATCTCTGATGGTGAAAAAGAACATCGACTTTCAGGGACATCAACATCCAGGAGTCTCACTGGCTGAGAAAGACAAGTGACTCTTGTGTAATTAAAAAATGAATGCACTGTCAATCACTGTTACACATTATTTACAAAAAAATGTAGTGAGTGGGATTAAGTTGCCTAGGCAACATGTCCTGAGATCCACCCCTGCAGTTATTTCCTCAGTACTTTGAGGACGTTGGACTTGTAAGTTTTTTTTCCCCATCCCTTCTACAGGCGGATTCCGTTTGCTTTATTTGTCCTGATCTCAGAGAAATTGATATGTGTCACTGTGATTAAATCCCACTTCTTTTTGCTTTGCTTATGTGCGTCTCTGTTAGGATTATAGCTATATTTAGTGCCATGTAAATCAACATCAGAGAAAAAGACGTGCGGTGGCGGAGCTTCTGTATTCAAGCCTCGATGGGATGCAGCTTTGGCGCTGTAGGTTCATTCCACCTCCTTCTCTGAGCTTCTCATCCAGGAAAAACGCCTCAAGACTCACAATGTCAGCATATTTGTAAGCTTTCACGGTAGTTACTTTTGTACACAGAACCAACAATACTGATATAAGTGTGCATTAGGTAAACATCCCCTCTCTCCTCTCCTCTCTGTGGAGCTCTTGCCAAAATGTGGCCTACTAGAAGTTAAAAGAAGACAATAACTCAGTGTTGTAATTAAACTAAATTTTAACAATTGTCAATTCTATTTAAACAGGAGTCACAAAAGTGCACAAGAGGCATTGGTTCAAAAGGAAGGATCATATGTTGTGTTATCCAGGTTTAGATGACTTATGAACAGAGAGAAGCAAAAGTCCCTTCATAGATATCCCAATTTTTTGACAAGATCAAAACAGTAATGAAAAAATATAGACTTCGTAACATCGGCCCTAAATATGCCACAACAACATGTGCCTTTTGATTTCAAATATACCACGTTTCAAGATGGACTTCCCAAAAGCAGCCGTGACACCATCCTGCAAACAAAACCTCTGAAACAATTTGGTATATTTTATACATTATTGTACATCTACTGTATAGAGACATCAGGTTAAGTTTGATTTACTTGGTATATTCTAGAAACACGAGTTGCGGAGAGGCACCAAAATAAATAAATATGTAAAACAAAAACGAAGAATCTGACAGGGTTGTAGTGAAAGGCCCATGCCATCTAAATGTTTTCAGTGAAGTACACTTTCACATTATTCACCCATCAAGCAGCACCAAGTCCCCTCACCCAAAAATAACCACCACCATAACAAAAACTAGTGTGTAGGGAGAACATCAACAGCCTTTGAGACATACGCCTTTGTTCTACAAATGGACAACACTACTTTAGCACACACAAAGTAATTTGAGCACGACACTACACTCATGGCAAAAAGGGGTTCCTATTGTTATTTTTGGATGTTTCAAACACCCAAAAGAGTGTTGATGAAGTCCTGCTGCAGTCTCTTCTCAGAGTAGTTTTTGTGCAAACACCTGTTTTGTTCTTTGACTTAGTCACCATATTAACATCCATTAACATCCTCGGGATGGGCTCCTGCGTTTTCTTGTCATCTTATTTTACTAGTGAGGATGTTTTTTTTCCCCATAAGGTTTTCTCACAAAAATCAAGTTATTATTATGGTGATGGTCATCACTTGGCCAGTTCTCCTTGCCAGGTGGATTTAGACTCACCTGGAGGCACTTTGTGTCACGGCCGTTTGTCATATATGTGCATATAATCTAATGAGTACAAACTGTCTTCTATAACACACCTGAGATAGATGAGAGGCAACAGCAAGGACAGTCTGTAGAAAGATTTCATCTCTAATTCTCTGAAGGGGCCACAAGGATTAACACCAATTATTACTTGAGTGATGCTGAACAGCATTGTCTTTGTGTGTGTTTCATTTCAGCCCTTTTAAGTCCCCCCTTCTACTCAAAGCTCAGACTGCCTGCAAAGAAGTACCGCAGCCTTCAGAAAAAAAGACAGATGGACAGAATCTAAGAACCCACCACCAGCTTTTTAAAGCCATTTCCCCCACAGAAACAGATAAGTAAGCTCAAAGTGTGACTCTTGATTTAGTTTCAGAATGCCAGCGCACAAAATGGAGCCATTTGGTGGAGCATGCTGGCCTTCCTCCTGCCAGTCTCTCTCTCCCTCTCCATAAACATCTCTTTCTCACATGGTAGTGTTTATTAGAAGCCAAAGCTGATTTTCTGAGTGGACATCACCTTGGGGGAGTAGGTGCCACATAGTTTCTGCCCTGAAGACATACTGTAGTGAATCCTTCGTACCTGACCTCTAACCCTTTCGACTCAGTGACACTTTTCTCAGTTATCAACACCTAGCTTGGAGAGCCCCTGCCTGAACTCATGCAACTCGTCTATCTTTCCATCCAGAATATCCATGAACTTCTTCAGCTCGCCCTTCATGTTGCCCTGCTTTTGTAGACTGTCGCTGATGTCCATCTGAAGACTTCCTATCCTCCCCTCCAGTTCGTTGTTCTTTGTCTCTGCAGCCTGTGGATGGATATCAGGGGGAAAAAAACAATAGTTTACAACAAATGGTGGATCCAGGGAAATCATAAATTTCATAAGAGGGATGTCAGAGTATTTGATGTACTGTAGCAGTACAGGTATGTTTCTATCTTTCTCTCACCAGAGATGCCAAATCAAAGACAGAGCTTCTCAAGCTACTGTCAAAAATGAGATAACAGTAGTTCAACTGGCTTTTTAGAATTTCACTTAAATAGATGCAGGTAAAATAAAAAGAAAAAAAGAATTAGTTTACACTGAGATCTGGGGATTTTTTTCTAAAATGCTGTAAGAATCCCCCCTCCCACACAATTTTCATCATCAGGACTGGAAAACATGTTTTAAATTCTCTCATCCACATTCTCCCACATTTTCATGTGAGGATGGGAGGGTGAAGCAGTCTTTCATACTAGCAGGTGACACACGAGTGACACATTAATGCCAAAGATACCATTGAAGGGAGGGGTTAAAAATAGGAGTGCTAAATGGGTGTTGCGCCTGACTGTATCCTCCAGCTGACTCCTGAAACCTGATCTTCACGTGGGGTGTTGTCTTTAAATAGAGGGGAGCCATGACCACAAACACAGAGGTAGAATAAGTGGGTTCCTTTTTCAAAACGTCACAGAAAAAAAACACATCAATACCAGGGGAAACTGCAGCAGTGCACTTTAAACAGTTTTACTTTACCCATCAACTGTTATCTGAATGGACAGTGGCTGAGTTTTCATTTTTGGTCACGTGAATAGACGGAAGTATTCGAAAAATCCCATTGTCTTTGCTTCTCCTCAGTTTGGATAGCTGGTTAGATAAACTCCTGCTTCAGCCAGTTTTGTTGTCACTGTCATTCATCCAGCTGCCTGTTGCAGAAACAAACTAGGCAGTTGAGCTCTGTGAAGCACAAGAACTTCAGGCATGCCACTGTTGGTTTTATTCTACTCTCTGTCCAGCTTGAAAGGCAGCACATGCATGACAGCTTGGATGATAAAATCTTGCTCTGAGTCAGACAGAACAGGGCGAGATGAGCGTCACTATCAATGCAACTCATGTCAGACTTGGCACTCACTGGGCGTACAGTCATTCACCAAGCCTGGCACTTCTGGTTTTACAGAGAGTTTTATATTACTCAATGAGGAATGAGCCTTGAAGAACAGGTGATCTTTGTTACAAGGCAGACGGAGGGTGACGGGCGTGAATCTGTATTGTTTTTGGCAACAGCAGATTCTCACCCAACTTAAACTCCCAGACAAAACCCACACACTAGCTGAAATGTTATAAGACTTGGTCATTAAAGCTCTTGGTAGAGCTCTCAAACAACTTCATCTGTTTTTGCAGTCAGCAAAACATATCATATCTGCAGTACTGGGAAACTAATAGACCATGACAGAGATGCAGTATCTCAGTTTAGCAGATGAGGAAGATGAAACCTTTTCAAAGACACAAGAATCCACTCACTGTTGTACTTGGAATGAACCTTTATTCATAGATACAGTAACCATAATGTGCGTTAGCGAGATACACGATAGGAATGTTGTGTCACCAGCCCTCAGGCAGAATGGTGAATAGGAACTCTCATTCTCTCCGTCTGAAAGCACTGCTTACGCCTCAGAGCCTGTGTGTTACCTTGCTGTGACAGTCATTGTGTCCCCACGTGGCTGTAAGCTCAAGGTCTACGCAGCTCTCTGCCATGCTTTTATACCCTATAAATCACACCTGAAAGAAATGTGGGGTTTGGAGGCCTTTGAACATACCTGCAGTTTTGCGGTGATGCTCTCTACCTCGGCCATGAGCTGAGGGATTATCTCTGCCTGCTTCCTCAGGTTCTCTAGCTCCTGGGAAAAATACATCCAGAAACCAGTTTATAGCCAACAAATCACATCATCATTCTATATTGTTTTCTTAAGAATCATTTAACAAAAGAAAACTGTTCAAAAAAACTTTTCAAAGGTAACAAAATTTACATGTTTTATCTCGTTTGTTTAATTCATACAAAAACCAATGTGTAAATACGCCACGGTGTGGTTTAATGAAGGGTTATGTGCCAGGCTATTTCTTGAGCAGGAGCACTGACTTCCTGGATTAAACAAACAAATTTAACAAAATAGATAAAGCATGATTAGTGAGCTTTAGAGGTAGCTTTTGTTAACTTTGGAAAGAGCCAGAATAGCTGTGTGTTAGCATGATTCTCTTTTTCTCAGTTTTTTTCCCTCAATTAAACATCTCTTCGCTCTCAAAACTGTAATCTCGCCGCTGCTTTAAACCAAACACACCACATGCAGTTTTATAGCAAACGTTAACCCTTCAAGCACTTCCAAGCAAATTAATAATTAGCCGAGTCTTTGTAGTCACCTGCAGCAGTTTTGTTCTGTTAGTTCACAGCTGGCCGGCATTGGGGTCAACACCACACTGAATTCTTAATAATTCATAGGCACGCTTTTAATTGGAGGAGTTGAGCGTGTGCATTTCTAGAAGGGGGTGAGTCACATTGCAGATGAGCCTCTCTGGGCTGTCTGCTGTATCAGTGCTATGCAAACAATGAGACTTCCTTCTGCAGGCGCTTCGGTCAGTGTTAGGAGCATTAAGGCTGATGCATAGGACTGTGGAAATGCTGAAGCCCCCAAAGGACATGATTCTTTGCTTATAATCTTTTCTTTAAATCATCTCCAGCTCTTTAAACTACCTACTTCCTGTTGTTGTGTAAGATATACCGCTCTCAAAGGAAAGATTTATATGCTCTATAAATACTCAGGGAGCCAGGTGCTAAACTAGAATATCCCAGACACTGAGTTTTCCTCAGGGAATTTGAAAGGGTCTTTACACAGCATGGCCATAAATGTTATTTTTTTGCAACTGTAATAAGCAAGGTTATATTCAAACTAAACGATTAGTTCATTCATTCATTAGATAATCGACAACCCACAACATATTTGAGGATCAAATAATCATTTAAAGTATGAAGTAGTATGAAATATTTGCTTATTCCTGCTTCTGAAATGTGTGGATGTACTGCTAATCTCTCTTTCAATATGACTTGAATTGAATAGCTTTAGGTTCTGATTTGTTGATCAGACTAAAAAGAAACTAGAAAATATCAAAAAAAGCTTGGCCAGATATCTTCTCCATACTTGAAAAGCCACTATGAACAGAAACAGAAATATATACCGATTTAGGTACTCCTTTCCTCTTATGGTTACTAAATAGTGTAGAAAAAGAAAGATTGCCAGAAGTCAGCCCTAATCATTTGTCTGCAGACAGAAACAGCATTTAACCAGTAATGAGCAAAAGGTCAAAAGACTGTGTGGCCAAGTATGGCTCTTTCTCATTAGAAATAACAGCACCATTAGGCTCCACTGAGCTGACTGTCAGCTAGTCTGGATTATGAATGACTGATGCAGTGGACAAAAGCCACTACCACTAATGATATTTATGCCAGAATTCCCTGCTGCTCTGACTATAAACTAAACCATTGGATGAATTTACATTCCCCCAGTCTATCTATTTTCACAGTGGAGTTCAATTGTACCAAAATGGGACGGAAATCAAGTAAATTACTGAAGAAAATAAGCAGCACAGAAAGTAAACTGAGTGAAAAAAATAACTGGGCAGCATAAAGATCTGAGTTCAGTTGGGTCGGTGAAATATCAAGATGAATCCATACAAAATCTAAGATCACACAACAAAACCTATCATTTCCTACTGAGGTATAATCACCTCCTGAGGGAGAGGAGTGGTACCGAGTAAGAACAAGAGGCGAAGAGCTGGTGTGTACAGTGAAGCGATGTGCTAAAATATTGGAGTGAGGAAGAGAAAGTAGATCTGTTCTTTCGGGAGAAGAAGGGGTGGGAGGGTTAGCCTGAAAACTGTCTTAGATGAAGAAATGATGAAGGGGATTGAATTGAGTCACAAACTTTCAAAGTAAAATACCTGCTTTGTTACAAAGGAAAACACATTGTTTTACCAACTCTTACAGACAACCCAGCTCTCACACACTGGCCCTGTTGTTTCAAGACAATGTCATGCAGACATTTCACCTGCTCTTTGTCACGTAGCTCAGTCTCCAGCTCATGCACTCGTACAGTCAGTTGGGCGTTTTTCTGCTTCTCCTGCTCAGCTTCATTACACTGAGCTTCCAGTTCTGCAATCTATGTATGGGAGGAAAAGGGGAAAAGTGATTTATGAAAAATGTTAAGTTTCTATTGTGAAAAGTGGTCAACAGAACATGTTCCCATGTTTTCTACCCATCATACATCTGCTAATGTGTATTTGTGAAATCCTAAATGTGCTGTATATTAAGTGGTGACAACTGACACTAGCAATTAGGAAAGAAAACTTGCAGCATGTTACAAAATGTATCATTGCAACACCAGCCCAGCTGCAGTAAGAGCCCACATTGATTATGAAACTAAAATGATTCTATTTATAGTGGACTTCCAGCTCTGACTCTGGTGCAGGGAACACAGAAGCTAATAAATGTACAGTACTGGATCAAAATTTGGCGAGGGATTCACACCACCCTCTGAAGAGATTTAAATAAATAGATGGACCAAAGTTGGACAGAGAATCTATTAATTTTGTGATAGTTTGTAGTTTTGTTCCTTGTATAGAACAGATAGCAATGTTTCTAACATGACACCTTTCAGCCAGCAGAATCGATGGCTTTGTGTACATTATTTAACTTCCCTGTAGGAGTGCATAACTGTATTACCTTTTCCCTGAGCGTGTCACTCTCTTCCTTGCAGGCACTAAGTTGTTTCTTCCAGCTCTCTACATTAGCTGAGGACTCCTGCAGTGCGTCCACCAGCCTGGCATTATTTTCTCTTAAAGTCTGCAGCTCTGTTTCCCACTTCTTGGCATTGGTGTTGCTGCCAGACAGGGGGGGGGGGAAGAGAGAGAGAGAGAGAGAGAGAGAGAGAGAGAGAGAGAGAGAGAGAGAGAGAGAGAGAGAGAGAGAGATATTAATGGAAGGACATTTTTGACAGGTTAGTGCTGAATTGCCTGGAGCTTTTGCCCACTGACATGACACATAATGCTACAAAATCCTTCCGGTCATTACTATTTCATTAGCTGTGATGTATATCACACTGTCAGGAGATATTTAAAACATAAAAATATGTTATTATAAATAAGTGGGAAAAGTCCCAAACGGACTAATGAGCTGTAGCCCTGACACCAACAGAAGGTTTGTCTTTTCATAGTGTGTGTTTTTCTGTCCTGTCAATGAGGTTGGAGAGTTGTGATGTATATTTAGTATGCATGGTCCCTTCCTTATGCATGGCTGGGTTTAAGTGTGCTGCTCTCTATCAAATGTGGGCAGACTTGCACCGCCGCATTCTGCAGTCCTCGGCTGTTTCACTGCTGTGACACAGTTTCACAATACAAAACTCCAATGCCTTGTGAAGGCATGAAAAGGGGTAACAACCAGCAGTTTAATGACACACAATGCTTAATGCATGGAAATTAAACAATTGTCTTTCCTTTAACAAAGCTTTAGCTTCAGGCCCATAGGTTCCTAATAATTTCCTAGGATGTTTCCTGGAAGGAACTTTCCAATTTGGACCAGTTATAACCAACCTGATGTGAATTAAAACAATTCAGTTAGTAGGCATAATTTTTAATCATGTGATTTTACAACATATGAAGAATATTAATTCTTGTACATTATATGAATATAATATCACTTCTGACGTCTCTGGTTCAGGAGTGGCTTGACACTAGGAATGCGACATTTGTAGCTTATTTCCTGGACACGTCTATGGGTGGTGGATCTTTATGCACTGACTCCAGCTTCAGTCCACTCCTTGTGAAGCTCCCCTAAGTTCTTGAATCAGCTTTTCTTGACAATCCTCTCAAGGCTGTGATCATCCCCGTTACTTGTGCACCTTTTAACCTTCCAGTCAACTTCCCATGAATATTCTTTGATCCAGCACTCTGAACAGTCAGCCCCGGCCAGGTCACTGCTGGCTGAACAGCCAGCAGTGACCTTCTGTGGCTTACCCTCCTTGTGGAGGGTGTCAACGAGTGTTTTCTGGACAACTGTCAAGTCAAAAGTCTTCCCCATGATTGTGGTTGTCTGTACTGAATCAGACAGAAATTAAAGGCTCTTCTCAGGTCGACATTTATGTATTATTCATTCATTTATTCTATATTGTGAGACATGTAAAACAAAAAAGGAATATTATTGAAATATTATTTTACTTTATGTCAATTCAATTTGAATGAAATTGCGGAGAAAAATAAAACTTTTTCACAGTATTCTAATTTTCTGAGATGCACCTTTATGTATATATCACTGGACCCATAATATAAAGCATTTCCCACACCACTCATACAGATGTTAATTTAATTCTTCTTTTTTGCATGTATAAAGTTGTAAATACTACAAGGGAATGTCGTTTGATTGGTCTCTGCTTTACCTCAGGGCCTGTTACCCCATCTGCATCAAATACGTCAAGTGACTTTTTTGTTGCTACCCAGTACTAATTATGGCTAACTTTACTCACTGTAGTTACTCTCATGACCTACAGCCATTTTAATCCCATCTAGGACCATAGTTGTTGTTTCACACAATTACCAATTTATACACTCAGCATCTGGATTATAAAGGCCAGATAATCAAATGGTGGAGGAGAGCAGCGTCACTCTTTAAATTAGATCAGATGATTTCTGAGCCCTTTGGAGATGTGAGATTATCCCAGCAGCAATAAAATGATAAGTGAGAACATTTGAGCAGTTTGGTGCAGAGACAATTAAAACACAAGAAAAGTGTGTAAGCGATCAGGAGCTGCTGTGTGTGGAGTAAAAATTATATAATGCCCCTTAAGGTGAGTTTTGCTGATGTGTGAGACCATTTGGATGATTCAGTAACACATCAAACTGTGCACATGCTTCAGTAAAATCCATGTGTCGGACCTTTAGATCGCCATCTTTTTATTTTATTCTAGAAAATACTTGAATGATTGTGATGGATAAAAGGTGAACAATAAGCATGTTTTTTGTGTAGTGTATTAGATTCTGACCAAGCATTATGATCGGGTAAGTGTCATATAGTGAGTGCTTAAAATCACAGTGGAGTATTGGTACATGTCTCCTTAAACAGCACTGCTTCGTTTAAAGGGGACCTATTATGCTTTTTCATATTTTCTGGCATTTCTATAATGTTACAATGTGAGATATTCATGTTAAACATGACCAAAGCTTCAAATAATGAGGTAAAAGTATTTAAAAGAAATCCCTGTCTATGAGCCAAAACTTCAGAAATCCCCCTGTTCTGAACTCTCTGTTTTAAACTGTTTTTTATATTAACAGCTTGGTATGATGTCATTCTGAGCCGGATTTCCAAATATGGTCATTTGCTCCAGGCAGAGAATGCTCGCCACGCCCACAAAGGAACATTCAGCCCCATCATATTTCTCTTGTTTTAGCTTCTTTGCATTGGCTTCCAGTAAAATCCAGAATAGAATTTGAAATCATTCTTCTTACCTATGTAATGTACTATGAGCTCTTTAAGAGCTCATAGTACATTACATAGTACTGGCTTAGATGAGTCCTGAACCATCCCTTAGTTATGCTGCTATAGGCCTAGACTGCCGGGGGATTTCCCATGATGCACTGGGCTCCTCTCTCCTCTACTTTCTCTCCCTCTGTATGCAACCTCATCCCATTATTGCATGTTACTAACACAACTTCTCCCCTTTCTGGTAGTCTTGTGCTTTCTCGTTTCTCTCTTCCTATCACTTCCTGCAGGTTTTCTGGCTCTGGAGCTGTGGAGTCTGGATCTGTGGCTGCGGGTCACCTGCTGCCCCCGTGTTCCTGTTCGACACCCTCTGCTACAACAACTATTGTTGCTAGTCCTATTATTATTATTGTTATTATAGTCATTAACATTATAACATTACGATTGTTATCATTAACACTACTATAAATATCTGTACCGTTTTTCGTTTAGTCTGTAGCAACATCACCTTTACTTTCTGTACCTCTGTGTGTGTATATTGTGTAGGCTGCCTCCCTCCCCTCTCTCTCCTTCCATCCCTCTCTTTTTCTCTCTGTTCCTCTCCTGCCCTCTCCCCCTCTCTCTCTCTCTCTTTCACCCCAACCGGTCGAGGCAGATGGCCGCCCACCCTGAGCCATGGTTCTGCTCGAGGTTTCTGCCTCTGTCGCCTAGTGCTTGCTCTTGGTGGGAACTGTTGGGCTTCTGCAAATAGCATCATATAGAGTATGGTCTAAACCTGCTCTCTTATGAAAAGCGCTGTGAGATAACTGTTGTTGTGATATGGCACTATATAAATAAAATTGAATTGAATCCTTGCGGCAACCTGGTAACCACATAAGACATTGGCCAATCAGAAGACAGTGGGCTTTGAGAGGGGGGGTCTCAAAGAGACAGGAGCATCTACAGCTTGTTTCAGACAGATGCTGAAATGAGGACCTGCATAAAGTGCCAGTACAAGATGGAAAATTCTTTTTTTGAACTTTGAATCATGCAAAACTACCACACTTAAACACTTGCATAATTTCACGGTTTCCTTCTTGGCAGAGAAATAAAGTAGATTTATCAAAAAGATATACTGTACATACTCCCTTCTGTGTTTTGGTTCATGTAAACTTTTGTATTCAATTGAATTTAGATAATTATTAATTACATTATTCTCATTGTTGTGATGCAGTGTAGGCATGAGGATGAAGGCATACGATGAGGAGACGCTGCTATGTTATTGATAAAATATAAAAAAGGTGAATTTATCATGGGGAAACACATTCAAAGCAAATTCGATTCATATCACTTTAAAGAGGTTCTTCTCATGTTTCCATGATATGAAACCTTACCTCTGTTCTACTGCACTCTTCAGACGTTCGTTTTCGCTCTTCAGCACAGCAGCCTCCGGACCAACATGAGAGATTTTCTCATCATCTGTCCCATTAATGCTGGATGCCTGGTTGGATGAGGGCGTCTCACGTCCAGACTCCTGGCAGGGGACAGAGGGAGACCAGTTATGTTTCGGGGCAGGTTTGGATTCGGTCAAAGCTTACCTGCAGCTCTCTAAAAGGTCTCATGGGTTAAAATCTGTCTCTTAAATCCTGCTCTGACTGTGAAGAAATGGCCCTGGGTTTCTTTCAACGAAACACCATCAACAACCAGGACACGTCAGCTATGACAGCGGAGGGGTGAAGAAAAACTGTTGCCAGTATTTATCATGTCATATGGCCCAGCAGCTTTCTGTGTCTCAGAATTGAGTCTGTTTCCTGCCATCTGCAGTCAGTGCAGGCAGAGTGCAGGCAGAGTGCAGGCCTGGCAGGCGGTGACCTTGCGTAACTGCTGGATCTACCTCGAAATCAATGCTGTTCACTTACTGACAGACATTTACTTACTGACATTTAAGATCAATTGTGTAGAACTTAGCAATGTTTATGGTTTTATTACTCTTACTTGCTTCCTTATCTTCTTAATTGCTGTGGTGCCTGCCAAGTAACAAGAAGCTTAGAATGACCTTCAACCTCTCAATCATGGTGACACGACTATTACATGAATGAGTTGTTTGTTTGTTTACATTTGAAATTCAACACGAGCTTCATACAGTAGACCTGTGTTCATTTAATTATTTTAACTTAACTATTTGAATACTTGATTATGTCAGAAGCTATTTCTAAAACACAGCATCTGTACTTGGTGTTTTTGAAGGTGCTGCCAGTTTTCTCACTGTAGAGAGGCCGTCAGTGACTGTAGAGAAGACAATTGGACAGCAGGTGTGTTACACTGAATCAGAATTGCAGTACCTGGGAGTGATTACTCAGCGTCTCCACCTTCTCTTGAGATTTGTCCCTTGCTAGCTTGGCAGCTTCTTTTACCTCCTCAAACTTCTCAGCAAACTGAAAATGAGATCAACATGAAAAGGCAGGGTGATTAGTGACAATACTTTTGTTTCAAAGTTTTGGGAGATCATGAAATCCATTATCTAGTGATAGTGAGGATTTTAGAATCAGATATACCCTTAATTGCTTTGTTTCCCCATCTGATGTTCAGTTAATATCTTTGCACTGTCCCACTCGAGTTTTAGGACAAATACATAAATCAATTGACTCTAAACTGTAGGGATGCTTTTGTGACTTCATGTGATGCTGCCGAAATGTTTCCTCTCACCTTGGCCAGTTGCTGTTCCGAGGCGAAGCCCAGTCCAAACACAGTGTTGGCCCTGCTGTCCGCCCACTGGCCAAATTTCTGCGATGTCTTGGTGAACGTCATGTTGGGTGTGATGGTACTGTTGATGATCACCTGTTAGGACAAAAATTACTTATCATTAGTTTCCTGGCCCGACTGGACATCATACTGGTAATAAATACAGATGTAGAGACATCCAGCATAATTCTCTGATCCATCTGACCGGCACACTCCCTCAGAAAGATGCCTGCTGCTAGGTTTTGAAAATTGTGTGTCTCTTTCAGCCAAGACGTATTGGAGAAGGAGCTCCAGCAGCTGCATTCACATGATGAATAGTCCTATTGATTTAGCAAAGGACAATCCTCTATTAGAGCTCCATTCACAGCAGAGTAAGTCTGTAATACCCTGCACATGTCTTTCACCATGCCCAGACTGACAAGTTTTATTAGAAGTGGAATATTTATTATTTTGTCTTAGGATGATCCATTTAATAAAAACAATATTTATTTTCATTTTACTAATTTTATTTAATTAAAAGCAAAGAAATTAAATATAAAGTCATGATGCAGGATGGCAATTGGTCAGTCACATAATGACAACTTTTGCTTTGAGAGTCTTATTGTCTCACAGTGTAATGTGATTAAAATAGTCAATTTTCAACCCACAACCATTGGCACACAGTTTACTATATTATATTGTAATATGTGTAATAATATAACTTAATTCTTTGGGAAACTATTAACACATGATGTGAGGGTGTCCCTCTGTTCAAGCATTTCGGGGTTGAGTATCCAAAGTTTTGCCTGAAATGACAGGTAAGGCCATACCACACAGACTTTGCTATGACTTAATGATGACTGAGATTAAAAAGAAAGACAACACATATTGTTAATTGTGGTCTTATAATAGCCAAAAACTTTTAGTCCAAAGACGGCTGCTGTCTCACAATCACAGAAAATGGCTGAAATTTTCATAGCATTGTATTACTTGAGCTGTCTGCTGCCCGAATTAATAATGCAAAAACCTCCACTCAAGTTTAATCTTCATGGGACATGAACAGAGAAATGTCACACATTAAACCTCACTCAATTTATTATGGTCAAGCAGTTGTTGTTTAGAGGGCAGCCTCCATGGGCTGGGAGGAAGTGGGTGGGGCAGGTTAAACTTCAAGGTTATTATTAGTACCGGACATTTTGTTTCACAATTTGAAATGAAGATTTGACAAACAGAGACACACTATGCAGTGGTGACTGCTGAGCCACTTACCCATTAGTAGTGAAATTACAATTGCGGTATTTGCTACATTACACATTCACCTGTTGTAGCTATGCAGTAAATCAGCTGCCAGAAACATATGCTGCAGTCTAAAATTGTAACTAGTGCACAAGGCAGTGACAGTAGAAACCAACTTAAAATAGTATTTCAGCCTGACCAGACTGTGCTGATCTGTGTGAATTTGCTGCTGATAAAGACATGTCAAATCTTATATGATGAACAGCTAGATGTGCATGTAAATACAAGCAGCAGCGAGCCTCGATAGCTCAGTAGAGTGTGCGCCATGTATCAAGGCAGAGTCCTTATCACAGCGGCCTGGGTTCAAGTCAAGCCCGGGCCCTTTGCTGCATGGCATCCCCTCTCTCCCCCCTGCCTATCCTGTCTCTCTCTACTGTCAACTAAAGCAGATATGTAAAAAAAAAAATTTTTTTAAAGAAACAACACAAGCAGTTTTAATATACTACTGTGGATACACAAACCCAGTCTCACTATCAAAATAGAAGAGAACTCAAAAATAGCACACGCAAATTACCCCAACAATTAAGAAACAATAGAAGACAGTTTAATCACAGTGCAGCCCTTGTTTCATAGCAACATGGCACCGAACACAGGATTCGAGAATTCAAATTGCTGACAGACTTGTGTCCTTTTCTACGCCCCCACTGTCTCCATCTTCATCTCCATTTTTTCAGTGGCTGAGGTGTTAAAACACTTCACACTGCATCACTACTGGACATAGAGACCCAAAAAGCTGGGCTGAGCTAACACAAGTACATTAGCACGCAATCAATACCCTCCCATTCAAAACAATGCTAATGGTTCCTTAAGTAAGAGATCACTGCGCATACACAAAAAATATCTTTATATACAATGATACATATCATTGTCACATATTGGAAAGATTACAGTTGCAACCTCTGATTCAGGCTGCATTCCCGCTGCCGCATCAAGGGATTATAAAGAACGTGGCAATTTACAGAGGTGCCAGTAATTTAAAATAAGGCTTCATCAAAACAAATGTTACCTAATTTCGTCAGAAGAGGAACTCGGGCAAAACCTGAACAACACTTAAAAGTCTCATCTCAAGCAGCTGAGTGAATATTTAACAGAGCTCACCGCGTTGGCTCAAAGAGAAGTGTTAAGATAAGATGAAAGTTTAATGATCATTGTGGAGAAACTGGGCCGTTGCTGCAGGAAGAAGCAAAGAAAGAATTAGGTGAACAAATGGTAAACATACATACAGCACTAGAACATAACGCCAAGAAGACATTTATTCATTAAAATGCACAGTTTCCTTTTGAAAAACTGACACAGATTGTCATTGTTGTAAGCCGATTAGAGTCCACATTTCTTGTCATTTGCATCCCATTTGTTTGCTAAAACTCTGTCATGTTCAGAACTCCTGAAATGTAATGTATTGATGGTTGAACACCTACAGAAACATAAGTAGAAACATGAGTATCAACAGATAAAAAAAAAGGGTATAGATCATGGGATGTGGGATCCCGACTAATGCTCTGTTAGTTAACACACAGAACTACCTGGTTGTCCCTGTGCCCTGTGACTGTGCTGGATTGTATGAGTGTCCGCCTCAGTGAGCAGGCGAGTGAGAGTGGAGGGTGTGACAGAGTGACGCTGGCAGCTGTGCCGATGGTGAGCCGGGCTGCGGATCAAGTGGCACATGAGGCGCAGACCGAAGCTCATCGGGCCAATAGCCTAGGGGTCAGTTAGAAACTCGGAGACTGCCAGGAGGTTATAGGAGAAATCCTCCATGGTTGATTATGTGTCTGCAGAGGGCAAAGAATCTGCAGAGTCAGTAAGTAAGATAGGAGATAGGAGAACATGGGAAAGAAGTAAATGGGAGGGGAAGATATAACTTGTCAAGCACCAAATGCCAGAAGACTTTGTCATAGCTGAAGAAAAGGACACCCACTACACAGAGTGATAGTTTTTTAAAAATGCTAAAAATGTTATGTCTTGTCTTTCTAGAGAGCCAAAACTCTAGGCTAAAAAAAACTGAAAAATTCTACTTGAATATTTTGTTGATTTTAGGAAGGTAATTTTATATATAATTTTATACTTGATCATAACATATGATTACCTCACTATTTTACTGTGGCCAACAGATTTCAGTTAATTCCAGCTGAATGTATGGCACCAAACCTGTTTTTTGAAGGATACATATAAAACTAATGGCAACAAATGGGCAGCGAGGATGATGAACAGGAGGAACTGGCAGCAGTATTGTAACAAACACAGCCAAGCCAAGGCGAGATGATGGTCGCTGTGTGATGTAAATGTTAAATATTTTTTATTATATTCCCTGGTGGCAAAGGCGCAAGTCTGGTTTTGGAAGGGAGGGTGGGTTTTCATCCATTAAGAAGTTGGAGTCAGGGGTGCACCACCACCACATCTTAAAGAGCAGGCTGTTTCTGTGTTTCCACATAAACCTAGATCTACCAACTTGAGCTGACCCTCATGCTTTCCATAATCATAGTGGCAGCCTAATATAGATTATATGTTCATTTTTGTATTAACCAAGACTCTGATCTTCTCCAGAATATGAATGTATTGTAGAAGATATCTTGACATAAAATTGGATCAGTCGGCTTCTTTGACATGCAGGGCTCCAGGAACAGTTGTTGAAATTTGGAGTGTGTGCATATTGGCTCTTCTGCAATCTATGGCTAGCCCTAACATCCTTCCATGCATAGATACACAGAGATGTATCTTTTCAGAACTACAATTTAAGCTTGAGACTAGACTAAACAAATGGGCAATTTCAGTCTCAATAGAAAGTATTAGAGCATACAGGAAATCCAGCTTCTCAGACTGGAAGTATAATTCTGCCTTAAGTCTTGACAGTCGGCTGACACACAGCACCCTTTTTATTGGTAGAATATGTATAATACTTCAGATGAAAATCATGTTTTTTTTTTTATATTTGTTGTCCCAGTTTGTTTTTCTGACAAAAGTCAGAAAGTCAGTGATATGCAATGCTGTTTACATGCACACTGGCATGTACCAGCTTTGGTGTGAGGACCATAATCCTAATGGATGATTGTTTTGGGACTTGTATCAACCCAGTGCATTCTCTCATCATGACGGCTGTGTATACAGTAAAGAGTACCCAATCTAGCTTGATTTAGTGATTTACCTAAATGCCAACTTCAAAGTGTGGAGGCAAATTCTGGACTCTGAAGCAAGGGGCAGACATGCCCCCTCAATTCCCAGTGGAGCTAAGGTTTTTTCTTTTTCTTGGTGGAGACAAAACTTTATGACACACATTTAGAGAATCTACATGGTATACTTGGGGTGCAACAATTTTATAGGGGAGCAAGGAGATGATAACGCAGGGAACTTGGCTGTAGGCTAAAATAGTGGAATATACTGTACACTAAACTAGTAAAAAACTGAACATCTGGAAAACCTACCAACACATTTAACAAATTCACTTAGTGGAATTTGAATTCTTATTCTTGGCAGAAACCTGTTAGCTCGGGAAGTTCTCACTCTTGGAATAATTCATAAAGTGCAGCAGGAAAACTCTTCACTGTGTTGTCATGGTGCTCGGTACATCACTGCATGATAAGCACATTTCAGGATGAGCAAGAGTCAAAAGTGGTGATATGCTCCTCTACTTGCCATATCATCATCAGCGAGTTGCAAGGCCCTCAGGAATAGACAAATGTAAGCTGACGGTCTGTCACAGTTAGGGTGTACAGCAGCACAGTCTATTGTTCTCGACAGACCGGGGTCCCTCGCAGCTAGCACACAAACTACAAAATATATTTAACATTTATTTGATATGACTCAACATTTCCTCACTCTCGGTTACTTTGCTCATACCGACATCACTTAGACTTACTTAAATTAACTGGAAATGGATAAAATTTAAATCAGCAGGAGTCATCTCTTTTCAAATTTAGCTAACATCTTAAGTTTTAATCCTCCTAACTCACATATAGCTGCTGCCTGCAGACATTTTATGACACATACAGCTCTGTTACAGGAGAGTGCAGAGACAGGAGGACAGGGAGGATGACAGGAGTGGGAGCGCAAAGAGTGGACCGCTGGCCTTGAGGTTATATATGACATACAAAAATATCGATGCATCTAGACAGAAATAAAGTAGATTTATCATCTCTTTCTCACTAAGAAAACAGATTCTTAGTGAGGGACTTAAAAGATGGAACAAGTGGTATTGTCAGTGCTGTAGCTCCATAAGTGCTGCTTGATGACATAACAGATTAGAGTCTTGCCTCTCTGGTTTCTAACTGTGGGAGAGAGCTATTTTGAAGCCAACAGAGCTTGACTCAACAATGCTATGCACGAATGGGGAAATAATACATTTTAATTTACTTTTAAAAAGGTATTTTTTACTCTAAATTTTAGTGAAAAGCTCTGACTTGCACAGGAAAATGTTTTCCTAATCTAAAAGTCACAACAGAAGACCATACAGTCACAGGGGCTCACTTATTCAAAACTTTCTTTCTTCTTAGAAATGGAAGAAAATGCTTGGGTTGCAAATACTCTGCAATCAGATATATCTATGTTGAGTTCCTGTGAGACCCACCCTTCAGCTGTCGGGTTGGTAATCCTAAAACTGAACTCAACAGGACCTTCACCCAAACAGAGAAAGTGCATGGTAAAATCATCAACACATCCCAACAACTGTCAACACACTCAGTCTCTGAAGTAGCTCTGCAGGTAATCTGTGTGATTTAAGATTGTGCCAAAGGTGATTGCCTGGCAGTGTCAGCAGAGGGATACCGCTATCATAACCCTCCTCCAGTTTTCACACAGAGAGTAGACTCTGATTGCCATGGAAACACAATCTACTCTTTCAGTTAGTGGAGAAGAACGTGTGAATATGGGATACAGGCACACTCATATGGTGTCTCTTGTCACATGCATCTTTTAAATCTTCACATCATGCTCTTGTGATGACAAATTGAAAATCATTTTGAAAAATGAGTGTGCTGTTTTTACTTGTAAGCCACCGTGAATGTTCACGCGCACACAAACATAAAATCAGGTCAAAAATCGATGCGGAGGGATATAACTGAAAAGAAGAAGACCTGATCCAGTGGTACCATTATTTAAAATCTCTATTGTTCTGGCTGTTTGTTGGTGACAGTAAATTATAGATAATTTTGTTTAATTGTGACTCAACAGGTATGCAGCTCTTGGCTGCTCTTGTTAATTTGTTAGGGTGGATGTTCAGACTTGTTCAGACTTTGGTTTCAAAGTACATGTTATTGTTCTTCCCTGTGCTGAACTATTAACACATATTGGTAAGCCTTTCATGAACTCATATGTATCTTAATAAAGGTGATTTAGCTGGCAGCAAGCTAAATCACATTTATTGTGTTGCTTTGTGGGCTTAGACAGAAATAAGTGTAGTTGTGTACAAATTCTGTCTTTAGAAATTGTATATTATGTTCTTGTATGTCTAATTTTATGTGTTGTGCTTCTTAATGCATATAGCAATGTATATAGAATTCTCGTTTTTAAGCTTGTGCTGCTGTGACACAAATATTTATCTTATATTATAAATATTACTATTAAGGTTGAGTGATAATTATTATCATTTAGTGACTTTTAGCCAAATTAATGCTGAAAAAATTAGTTGTTTAATCAATTAGTCAAATCAAAAAAGTTAATAGTTTTGATATATCAAGCATAGCGTAGTTCAGGCAGGCAACAAAGTCAAGCTCAGCTCACAATCCCAGCACATCAGCTGATAGCAGCCATCTTAAAGCCAGCCACATCAGCTGACAGCTCAGCTGATTCCTCTCTTAGCATTCATTGGCAAATTCCAGACAAGGCACTTTATTTAAGCTGCTACAGCCCACCTGCCTGCTGTTGCCTCTGCCTCTACAAGCAGCTCATAACCCGCCACCACCCCATCTCCGCCTTTCAGGCCATATGGATTAATCATGTAATTCGGTATCAATGCCTGCTCTGTTCTGTACCAGGGGAGTCTTTTTCTGCTGCTCTCTGCGTCAGGCTTTCCATGTATGCACATGGATTGGCAGGGGTCCCAGAACCGAGCCACACCGCCAAACATAACTACAGTGGCGCAAATATCGGTTTCTTTGATGAAAGTTGTCCTGACTAAACTACTGATCTTGTTTGTCATTTATCAAGAAAAATATGCTGAGTCTACACAAGTTTCAGTTCTTAAACTGTGGAAATGTTCTACTCTCTTTATATATTTGTATATGGATTATGTTTGGATTTTGAACTGTTAGACAAAATAATCAATTTGAAAACATCACCTTGCAGTCTGAGAAATTGTGATGGCCATTTTTCTCAATATTCTGGCCTTTTCAAAACTAACAAAATGTGTTGCTGAGTTGTTGTTTTACACATATGTATATGTGTCTTTTATATATGGAGTTTGGTTTCATGTAAGGGAAAACAGGCAGCGATAAATTACTTTCCTCACAACACAAGCAGCAGGGCACAAAAATATCACATTGTTCCAATCTTAGGTTGATGCTGACCAATGGGAGCTGCACATGTAACATTAATACACTTCATAATTCCTTTTGTTCAGTTGTGGCTTTGAGTGCTCTTTCCTCAGCCTCAAGTGTCTGTCCTGAGAGAAGTTAAATGTTTTCCCATCATCTCTTTCTGATATGGTTACACACAGACACACAGTATGCACGCATTCATACCTTGGATCCATCCACGCTGATGATGCGGTAGCTGTTACGTGTGCTGTCATAAAAATAGGAGACAGTGACGGCCATCTTGCTGGCAGGAACCCAGTTCTTCTTAGTGGTTGGGTCGATTTGGAAGACATGGGCCCTAGTGGTGTAGATCGGCTGCTCCCTGGAAAGCAAAGGAAAGAGGAGAGGGACAATATGAGAGAAGGATCACTTAAGAACTGAGTTCTTAATATTACATTATGCCTGCAGAGATACTGTGCAGTGTCTCCAGAGATGCCGAGTCCTTAGAGAGTCAGCACGGACGGGCTGGTGATAATGTAACACAAACCCTAAAGCCTTATAGCAACCCAAAGCCATTAGCACATCAACACCCCCTCCCCTCCCATAGGTGACGCTAACACATATCTAGGTGTTTGTGCGAGACTGTGCACAAGTGTGTACATGCACTTTGCCCTGTGCACCAAATACATTCGAGATGTCTGTAAAGGTTCTCAGTCATCCAGGTCATAGTTATCTAAAGAAGGTTAAGTCAAGGGCAACTGGACTTGGTTGAAGTACAAGAAGATGTTTCGTCCTCATCCAAGAGACTTCTTCAGTTCTGAGAAGACTAGTAGGGAAACTCCAGGATGCACATTTTAGAAAGAGAGGATGGATGGTTTGAAAGAGGGGTCAAGGAAGCCATTTACACCCGGGTTGAGAAGCAGTCGCTGAACAGAGAAAGGGGTCTACGCCACCACTTATCCCCCACCTACAATGCTGTCCTTTCATCACTTCCCAGGAAACTTAAATGTTACGTCTTGGCCTTAGGCAAAGATGGTCGTTCAGACTTGGCCACGGGTGGTTCTAACGACCATAACAACTGTTGCCACCCCTGCTGCCAGGAGCACTAATGAACCAGCGGTATCGATGACAAATGACCCCACAGAGGTTAAATAGCTGAGTTTCCCTACTAGTCATTTCAGAACTGAAGAACTCTCTTGGATGAGGGACAAAACGTCTTCTAGTATCTTCAACCAAGTCCAGTTGCCCTTGACTTAACCTTCTTTGGATACATTCAAGACAATTATCTACCTGTAGTCAAGACTTGCTGTCGTCTTGCAAAAAGAAAAACACCAACTTCAAAATTTCCAATATTAAAAAAACAAGAGGTTGATATCATACTAAATAATCTCATTATTTTGATAGAAGAAAACAAACTAATTTCAGCAGTGCTCTATTTGTTTTTTTTCTTTGGCTGGTACTGACTGTCACAAAAAACTGAGGCGACTTCAGAGGAGGAGCATTTCACATGGCATACCAGCAGCTGTAAGTTCTTCCAACACCAACACAGTAATGAGTGGTGTGAGTACTATGAGGATTAAAAGGCATCAAAAAGCTATTAAAGTCAATGGTAAAATAATGTTTTCAATTAAAACTCTGACATTAATCCTGTAATAACACCAATGGTGCACCACCTTTATAGAGCAAACTATAACTGTATTGGGAAACATTGTTAACATCACTTCCATCTATTTTGACAACTGAGCTTCTGAATCATCTCAGTGACCCATTATAGCCAGCATTCACATAACTCAAGTTGAGTTTCTGTCCTTCCTAGTGGTGTGTTTGATCATTTTATCTAATCCGAATCCATAATCAAATCTTACTGAATCCAAATCCGTCTGAGTCCCTTATACAATCTGTTTAGGTTTAACTTACAAAGTAAAGTTTTTTTTACAAACTTGGAGCCAAATCTGAAATGGAATTAGCTATCAAAACATAACAATGACTGCAATGGGGAAAAGTTCAAAATCATGTCATCTATCTTTGAGAGGCTGAAGTAATCTGCCTCCAAGCAATGAGCAGCTAGCTGCCCATGTGATTCAGAAGAGCATCAACATGGGGATGAAGGAGCAGAATCAGACCGCCTGTTAAACTTGAATGACTGCAGACTGAAAAAACACAGAGAAAATGCTCCTCCTCTATATGACATAAACAAACACACAGACGCATCTCTCTCTCTCTAGACACTGATTTTCCTCTCTCTGTGTCACTTGTGTACACACACACACACACATACACACACGCACACACACACCCTGACTCGAATGTTGAGAGTTGAGTGCTGTTGAGAAATAGGTTTTAAAAAATCCTCTTCCCCTCTTTCTATGTTTTCTGTTTACAGCATCAAAGTGAACAGTGCACTATAGACTTATAGTACTTTAACTGGTCCAATATAGTTAATACAGGTGTTTAATCAAATGTTGAAAAAGTCTACAAACTTGGTCTTTTTCCAGCTATTGTGTTCATTTTGATTAATAAAAATTACATAGGGAAAATCTATGTAAGCTTTACTACTGTTAAATACTTTAAAGACAAGAATTTTCTTTTTCATACTTTTCTTGCTTTACGAGATTCAAATGCCATGTTGTCACATCTAAGAATATTTCTACGACAAGTAAGTGCAGCTTGTGGTAAAAATAACCACATCTGCATGCAGCACAAGCATATCCTCAGTTCCTTACAAACTATGAAGGCACTCTACACTAAAAGATGACCACAGCTGAAAGAGAAAAAACTAGTTGCACTCCATTTATGGTAGTGCTTTACAGGGACTGGACATAGCAGGTTTAAATTATCCACTGGAAGTCGTTTTAAAAAGGGGAGTGCAGGTGGTTGTGATGCTCTTCTATAAAGTTCCAAGAGTGAGGGATAATTAAGTGGAGCGAGTGCATGAGAGGGATCAGAGGACACCTCAAGAACTCAATAATGAATGTCGATGAAGAATATGGGGGAGACAGATGGGAAGTACTTATCTTGCTGGGAATCAAAATGTGGAGTGAATGTGTCTTTCAGCCAGGGTGAAGTTTACTTAGAGCACACCTCTTTATAGCCTACTTGGAAAAGTTGGCCAATTACCTCAGCGTTTCTCTCGCAGTGCTTCTCTTTGTCATCTTATCTTGTAATCTATGCAGTAAAGTATTTAGTTTACTGGGCTGTCCTGGCATCTTTTGCATGTCAAGTCGCCCCCGTCTCTTCTTTTTCCAGAAAATGTGTTGTTGGATGTTTTTCCTCGTCCTCTCAATGGCTCTTGTGCATTGTCACACTAATAGGTGTCACTGGGTAATTCGTGCTTCGTGATGTATTTATTACATGCACTATTGATTGCTAACCGATCAATAAATGAAGGTGAAGTCTTGTAAAAAGTTATGTTTATATTCAGCGTTTCTCACTTAAACATATTGTGTGCCTCCTAGAGGTCTAACAAATGTGCTGAGTCTTAATAAAACATCTGTTCTGGTGTTTTTTTCTTTTACATTTTAATTCCTGTATTGTTTACATCCATGTTTGCCAACAGCCTTCATCCTCACTGCCACTGTTGGTACTATATTTCTGCTAACTGTTGATCAACAGAAGGAATGTGTATGGTGAAGCACTCATGCATGTGCATTTATATTAAAATTAAAAGGTGCAATTTATTTATATTATATATAATTATTCTTATTATTCTTCATTTTAGACTCTCCCTACTCTCCCTCTACATTCCCTCAAAAATCAGTGCTGTCAAGACGGTTTGCAATTGGCTGAACTGCGCAAAAGCACCGCAAGTACTGAATTTGCCTCTGTGAGTAAATCCCTTATGCTTCAGATTAGCTTCAGAACAGGGCTACTGAAAACACATATGTCAAAAGATATGACAAGAGGTCACTGTACATGGTCTTCCCACTTGGTTACAAACATGCTCCCAGGAGAGAGCTTTTCTAGAAAACTTCCTACATCAGTTTTGTGTTGTAAACTTGGTGAAATCCTGATACTTTCTAGTATTTGCTTTCCCTTCTTGGCCTTGGTTAACTTTAGCGACATAATATGTGTGAAGTGGGCACATGGGTGCTGAGCTGGAAACAGGGGCACAGCCACACTTTGCTTGGCGTGGCAAAACAAATCATTCATGCACAATATAAACCATTACTAATATTGCATTTTTAGAACACAGGGGTGTGCTTAGAAAAATAAGCCTAAATCTTAATCATCTGAGAGCATGTTCTTAAAAAGTCACTAACATAATTCCAAACAAACGGCTGTTAAAGCTAGCAGAAACATAACTCCTCATCCTGTATGTCAAGGTTTGACATTTCATTAACAGGGTACAGATGGTACCATTGTTGTCAAGAGGACATTCAGCTCAGTATTACTTTAATACACTACCATGAGTTCCTGGTGAAAATAATGTCAGGCAGACAGGCAGGCAAAATTCATGAGCTAATAAAGCTTTTACTTCCATTGGGATTATGGTTCTCACAGAAATGAAAGCCTAATACATTCACTGTCCCCTTTAAGCCTAATCTCAGTCTTCATCTGTTTTGGGAACAACAAAACCCATTACACAGATCACTGTTGTCGCTTTACGTACACAAGCGCGCACACACGCTGACCTTTGCAGTGGCAGTGTCTGGAGCCAGCTCACACTGGCAGGGGAAGAGAAGTGAAAGGCCACTGCTGAACACATGGATGCACTCACACAACTGCTGGTGGAATCCAGTGATCTGCTTTTCCGAGATAAAAAGCATTAGGTTTGATTGATTGTACTGTGTGTGTGTGGGGGGGGGGGGGGACGACATTTGGGACTTTATGACCGCTGAATTCTTTTTCGTGCTGGGTGCTCTGTCCCCATCTGGTGCTTTAAATAATTTACATGTGTGTTTCTATGTGTGGGGAGCAGGTTTGAGTAAATCTGCACTGTCTGTGCCAACGCACACCTACACACCCACCTCAGGCCCATCCACACTGATACAGCAGTCGTGTTCTTTACCGGCAAAAAAATAAAAACGAAGGAATGCACTGACAGCCAGATACTTGAGGACTAAGACAAACTGTTGAAAAAGCTCTGGGTTGTACATATAGATAAAGATACTTTTTTAAAATTTAATGAATCTACATCACACAAAATCAAGACCCCCCCCCACTATGATTTCGATTCTAGGGAGGAAGTGAGTTAGCAAAAGGCTGCCATGTTAGTATGATAAATAACTGCACTATATTACCTCTGAGGAATATGGAGCAGCAATATTGTGAGTGATGCGCGACTAAGCCTGCCTGCCTCTCTTAAATCCTTTCAAATGTTGGCTTGATCACCACCTGGGGTTTACCTAAACACCATATTCTCCAGAGTTAAAGTGAAGTTTG